GCGGGCCAGACAGTCGGACAATACAAGTTTCCCCTCCTTGAGCCTGCAAAACCCCACAACAGCTGCCACTTTGAGTCAGCGAAACTCCGGGATCTCCACCCTACCCTCCAATGCTTCCAGTGCCACCCTTCGTTCTCCAGTAGCCTGTGCCGAAGAGTTCGCCTCATCCGCCAGTCCTGGCGTCCCTTGCAAGTCCCTCCAGCTCTGCACATCTTCCGCAGCAGACGTGGTCCTCCAGGAGGCAACAAGCTGTGAACCAAATCGGCTCCTGCTTACAGCTGCATCAACTTCCACCACGAAGACCGCCTCTGCCAGCGAGCCACCTTCAGCTAACCATGCTCGGGCTTTCTCAGGAGGTGTAGTCTTCCTCTCAAACAGCCTCACCTTACGCAATAGCTTCACCCCGGAGGTGTCGCCGCCGCCGAGGCAGAGTCCACTGGTCACCAGGGAGAAGTTATGCAGTCAGGTTTAACTGTCAGCCTGGAAAACTGCAGTTTGTCCTCCTCGTTTCTCTGGCCTCGCCGTCACCTCCCAGCGTCCTGCGTGCGTGTGCGTGCTCATTCACACACATACACACACAGACACACAACCACAGGGGGGGGGTTTAAACTTGTCAAGAGCCTTACACTGACACGCACTCGTGCATGCACGAACCCCAGCAACCGTTCTTAATGCGTCTCCTTCTGTGTCTACGCTAACGAGAACGAGAGAACTTGGCTGGCGTGTTGCCGCCCAACTCATGTGAACAGTCCTCGCCGAAACCCCTCCCCCCACATATGCACACGGCGACGGATGACAGAGGCTCAGACCAGAGGGCGTTACCGTCAGAGCTGCAGCCTGGCTACTATCTCGAAATGCCGTGCACACACATAGGGGGGGGAGTTAGCTGTTTCTTCGGACTTACAGGGCGTCATGCACCCTTTTCAAACTCAGCGCTACATCCTCGAGCAATTTGTGTACTTCATCCGCATAATGTTCCCGTCAGACCTTTTCGCCATTTTCATATACGTGATTTATTTTGGGCTAATGATGTTCTGGATTCTCTCTGTGTATGGACCATTAAAATCTCATCCAATTAGGATGAACGCAAGTTAGAACAATGGTCTTACTTGGAGAATGGTCCTCTATCCAAAGAAATCAATCAATCGATGTTTATGGGCGTCTTCAACGCTGCTGTAATGGCTCAACTCAATCTAAGCCTAAATATTACAGACGTAAATCTATAAAACAGGAACATTGCTGGCAAAAACAGAGTAGATTAGAATGGTCATTTCGGGCTCATTAGTCGTCATCAGACAAACACATAGAAGCCTAGGTGGTGCAGCGCCCGAGACTCGAAACCACAACCTGTTGACCGGAAGTCCAACGCTCTAATCTATGAGCTAAGGGCTCATCATCTTGCCAGTTTAGATAGGTAATATTGACAGTCGTTGATGAGCGCTCACCGGTCGCTAATGGGACGGGACGAACGAGTTCCGCTGGTGATCAGTGAAGGTTCGCCAACGAAACTAAATCTTCGCTA